CACTGCCCGCAGCTCCTGGCTTGCCCGGGTCTCTTCATCATCGGGCCAACTGACTTCTTGGCAGTCACAGCGTCTCGTCTGAGAGTGCAAACCAAGGCTACCGCCCTCAGTTTCCCCGTCTGTCTAATGGAGGGTTACGGTACTCAGCTCGTGCCCGAGCCTTTCTAAAGGCCCGAAAGAACCCTGGGGGACAATAAGTGTCGGAGAATGAGAACAAGCTACACAATTCCACTCGGGAGCTCAGCTTTGAATTTGCAGACTGCTGGGACCTCACTATACAAGTCGGCAGGGCGCTGCGAATGTTTTTCTTCTAGTTTTTAATCAGTGCCCAGTAGTGTGAATGCAGCCTCTCTGCTGAGACTTGACAATGCAATGAGATCTGGAGTTCCCACGGCAACAGGAACTAACTCGTCCCAGGGCTCTTTGAGTTATCAGTCGGCCCACATTTCACAAAGGTGATCAGCGTGGGCTCGACAGCTCTTAGAGGCCTTTTCTGAAAGCAGGCCGTGTATGCACTACCTGGCGGTCCCCCTTTTGGATTCAAACCTCTGGAGCATTCCCGTTTGCTGAACACAATTGAATGGTCCCGTTTTTTGTGCTGACTGGGGTGTGGTGTAAGTTGGGGTTTGCTGTAAAGGGCTTAGGGTCTCTGGGGCAGCTGGTAAGACCATGGGTGTTGAAGATCCCCAGCCCTTACCACTGATTGCTACCTTCAGGTTTAGCCCACTGTGGAAAAGAGAAGAGCACTCATTGTGGGCTAGCGCCATTCTCACACCACCTCTGAGAGGAAAGTACTGCACGTGTTTTATAAATAAGGAAACTGAGGCTCTGGTAGTTGAAGGTCATTTGTTTGATAGCACCAGGTTGGTGTAGCTGAGCCATGATTAAAGTCTGCTTTTCCCCAAAACCTTTGCTGCTGCAACCATGTCAAATGCTTTGACTGAGAGGCAGCTTCAAGGACAGAACTAAACACCCTGCCTCACTGTGGGAAGCTTGTTTAGGACTTAGCGGAATGGCCAGGGGAAAGCCAAGCCTTCTGTGCTTGCCTTGGAATTCTCAGGTGAAGCTCAGCCTGTCAGGATAGCTTTCTGGGGCTGTAAGGATTCCTCTGCTAGGCTGGGTGCCCTGGGCGAAGATAACATCTTGAAGTATCTGTGCTCAGTCATTTCTTTATTCAGTGATCAGATCTTTTTTGTCTTGTTTTGGATTTGAGATGAGGGACAACCACATAGCCCAAGCTAGCCTGGAATTTACAGCAATTCTTCAACCTCAGCCTCATAGTACTGGAGTCACAGTCATTGAGCCACCATACCTCAATTCAGTTATTGGGTTTTACCAAGTCATTTGTAGTCAGCCTCCTAGGGAGGTGCCTTCAGATTTGGCAAGAATGTAAAGGGCCTTTGGTGGCACACTACTCCATACTACATTTCCAATAACTTTTAGAAGCCTTTGCCCAATTTCTTTCTGATTCTTGCATGCTTTCTTTATCCCTAGCTCTGTGGTGTCAAAGCCTGCCTGAGCCTGAAATTCCAAGGATTAGATCAAGCAAAGCAGGGATCTGGATCTGTATGCACCAAGAGCCCAGAATACAGCCTCATCTCTATAATGGAAACACAGGGAACTGCAGAGATGAGTTAGACTGCAGACCTAGGTTCTGAAATTCCACATGCATTTCTTGTAGGCTGGTAAACTTCCCTTTGCTTTGTCTCTGAGGCCACTGTTCCTGCCGTTTGAGAAATCCCCTTCCTCAGATCCTCAACCAGCAGAGAGGCTGGAGCCCTAGGGAACTGGTAGGATCTGTCTCACTGATAAGGCAGAGGTGGGACCCTCTTGGTTTCTTGTCTTGCCTTTGATACTTGTTGAGTACTTAGGTGTGTTCCTTGATATGGTTTCATTTGTTAAAATGTGGGAAGACAGCCTTGGCTTCAGATGTAGGTGTCAGTGAGCCTCCTTTCCTGAGGTACTGGCTCTGAGACCAGCCAGTTCAGACAGTAGAGACCCTAACCTGTCGCATATGAACTCTTCACCTGTGTTTCCCTCCCTGGCTGTTCTCATGAAGTTGGCATCAGGGTCAGCGTACCTATGAGAGTTCTACCTGGCCCTTTAATAGAAAACCTTTCCCTCCCTGACAGGCTCTGAAACCCTCCCCCCATCAGTCTAAAGTGGCCATCACTTATCCTGCTGTTGCATTCTGGGAGGGGCAAAAGGGAAAGAGTGTCTTGTTTTGACCTCTTCCTGCTTTGGTGACAGGAGGGCTGCAAAGAAGGATTAGTGAGCTAATTAGAAATGATTGCATCTCTCAGCATTAATTAGCAGTGCTGTGGGCTTGCAGTGTGCGCTTTGGAACTGAGCCCCCTTTGGGACAGCATGGCAGGCAGGCCTCTGCCTCTGGGGCCTGCCAGCCCTCTGTACTGATTAGAGATGATGGAACAGGTTTGGGTAAGAACTATAAGGCTTGCCCTCTTCGGGTACCCTGGCCTGGCTGCCCAATGTCTAACCCAGACCCTCTACACTTTTACAACTGGGCCTCGGTCTCCTTTCCTGTAAAATGGGATCAGTGAAGCCATCAGAGATACTGCTCTTGGCATGATCTTAAGTGGTATGCTAGGTGCCATACTCCTGGGCACTTGGCCCTGGAACAAAGCAAGTGTCTAAAGGGTGAGTAAATAGTAGATCAAATGAAGCCTTGGAATAGCCTGGGATTCTAACCAAGAAAATCTTTAGAGCAGTTTCCAAACACCAGTGAGTAAGTCTATGGGTTTGGTTTTCTGGAGACACCTCCGCCTGGTGGACTCATTGAGCACTGCAGCTAGCAGGGGTGGGTTGCACTTGAGGCAGTTGTGGCCAAAGAGTAGACACTTTCTGACCTACCAAGGAGCAGGCCTGGGCCTGGAGGAGTAGGAGGCACTGAAGAATGAGGGCTACATCAGGCACTGAACGAAAAAGGCTAATGGCTGGCAGCAGGGCAGGATGTGTTGGCTCCACTGGGGCACTGAACTACAGAGCTACAGTGACCATCAGCTTATTTTGTGGTTTATTTTCTGTTTCTCCATGCAGCTCGGATTGGGAAAATGAAACGGAGGAAGCAAGATGAAGGGCAGGTATGTCCCCTGTGCAACCGCCCCCTGGCAGGATCGGAGCAGGAGATGAGTAGGCATGTGGAGCATTGCCTTTCTAAGGTAGAGGGGCTGTGGCCACCCACCTTCCTTCCTCCCTTCCCCGACACTTGTGCTGACTGCTCCTAACCTCTGGGCTCCTGGGGTCTCCATGTGGTCTCAGCAGCTTCTCCTCCTCTGCTCTTTGCCTTCTTCTTTAGCTTTCATTTCCACTTACTCCCTGTTTGGGCTCCTGTGGAAACTTATGGGGAAGAGGCCCAGGTCTTTGGTTTCCATATTGGTTGTATCTCAGGGGTGCCCATTTGGCACCCCATAGGGGCTAGGGCTGTGCCTTCCTTGCAGGCTTTGGGCGCAGGTAGGGATGGCCCGGGCTCTGCATGACCCTGCTCTGCTCTTCACAGAGGGAAGGCCCCTGCATGGCCGAGGACGATGCTGTGGACATGGAGCCGGAGAACAGCAGCCGCTTTGAGGAGTATGAGTGGTGTGGGCAGAAGCGGATACGGGCCACCACACTCCTGGAAGGTGGCTTCCGAGGTATAAAGCAGCTGGCAACTGGGCAGTGGCACTCTGATGACCAGGTCACTGCTGGAGCACATGGGAACCACTGCTGGTGGGGCTTCTTTGTGGCGGTGCTGCCTGCTTGTGATGTGCATATTAAAGTGGTTGTATTTGGGTGGGGAAATGGAATTGTGAGGCTGCAAGCTAGCAATGACGAGGGGGGCTCTCGGCCTCGGGTGATGCATTGAAGGTGACAGCCAAGCCGCGTTAGCACCTGCATAAAATATTAAAGGGACGGTTATGCATTTATCACTCCATCCCTCTTAAGGCTGATAAATGAGAATCCAGCAACCTGCTGTACACCTCCAGCACTAGGGGCCCTCAGGGCTTCTAGGCAAACACATTGGATTTTCCTCCTCCTCCTCAGCTCTATGTCAGGGAAATCAGTTTCAGAGGAGAGAGTGAGTTATGGCAAAATTTGACCTCCCATGAGCTTCATTGGTGAATCTAATTTTAGCTCTGATCCCATCTTTTCTCTCAGGGCGCCCTCTGCCCTGAAGCAAGAGGGGCCTGGGCTCAGCTGCTCCCTGCTTCCCCTGGGCTCTCCCCAATTGTTGCAGAAGAGTCTGCAGGGCCCTGCTCATCTCTCCTGCCTCCCTAGTTCCTAAGACAAGGGTTGGCCCCCTAAAAGAGATAGAAGAATTGGTTGGGTGCCTAGGGTCAGTGTCCTCTTGACAAACTCTCCTGCCATGGGCAAGGGAAAGGGGCAGCTGCTTCTTGGCTTTTAGCTCTTTTCCTCTTTCTTTGTTAAAGCACAGCTGGCACTGCAGTTTGTGGTCATTAAGGGAGCCAGGCTGCATCCCATATGCCCAGGCAACACCCTTGAGAGTGCCGCTGTATGTGTGCTCCCTGGAGAATCTCACAGCAGCCTTGAAGAGGGTCTCTGCCTCCTTAGAGCCACAACACCTGGTCATGTTGAGAACAGTCTCTGCAGTGCCATCCAGTGCAGATGGGTCATCATGTCCGTGGGCTTCTTGCTTGTTGTCCACCAATCTGAAGACAAGCCAGAGTGGTAAATCAAGAGGGATTTAAAAAAAAAAAAAAAACATTTCCCCAGAGTCTGAGCTGGACAGTCTTGGTTGTCATTTCACAGAGCAGTTATGTGCTGGAGCTCTAGCGGGTCTGAAGCCTTGCAAGAATGAACAGTAGGGCCCATGAGCCCAGAAATTATGCCCATGGGTATTGAGGTGTGTATAGGTGTTAAAGACCGTTCCTGCTGGGTCAGTTCTGGGTTAGCTGTGTTATCAACTGCAACTGTACACACCAATTGCAGTGGCAGTGTCTTGGCACATAATGGGACCTGATGGCTCTCGGGCGCTCCTGGAGTGCCTGAGTGGGTCAAGCTGCACAGGGCCTGCTGCTTCAGCAAAGTCTCTCTGCCTGGGGATGCACCAGCAGCTGGGTGTGGGAAGCTCTTAGGCCTCGGGTGGGGATCATTTTTCCGGGTGTGTTTACACTGTGAGGTTGTTCCTTTCAAGAATTCCTGAGGAGAGTTCAAAGAGGCCTTCTCTTTGAGCGATTTGGAGAGCGAGAATGAGAGTGAGACTTGAAGAGGGAATGGGGCCGGAGGTGCCTTTATCTGCAGAGAATTGCTCCAGCTTTCCTGATAGAAGCTGCTGCCGCCTCTTAAACAGCTTAGTGCAGTCAAAAGACAGGCTGACTTGAAAGGCTGTTTTACAGCAAGATCAGCAGGGGCCACGAAGCAGAGAGTGGAGCGATGGAGGCTAAGCCTCCTCAGTGGGAGGGGTCTATCAAAGAGAGGCCCTGGCTGATTCTGACTGCCTCTGCCCCTGAAACCCATCTGCAAAAGCTGGCCATCTGTCAGCCTACCCTCCCTGGCCAGGACCAATAGGCCCAACTCTTGGGGGGTTGGGTGTGGCCCTGCCAGGCGGCTGGTGTCAGTGCAGTGCATTGATCGCCCGCCGGGCGGGCTGGGCCGCAAGCTGGGCAGCTCCTGCTTAATGTGATTGAAAGGCAGTTAAAATGGCGGTGACCTTTTCAGGAGGAATTAGATTGCCTGCCAAGACCGGTTAGAGGGAGTGATAACGCCAGCTGAAGAAGCTGCCCAGCCGACTTCAGAGAGAGGGAGGCAGAGGCAGGATGAGCAAGCGAGCAGTGAGGCCCATTTAAGCTGCACTGTGCGTGCTGACAGGACAGAGATTGCTGTCCTTGTTAGATATGAAAGAACTGAAGAACTGTGATAAGTCCCTGGATCCCTTCATTCCCCTGTCCCTCCTCCCAAACTAGGGTCCCTTCGTCAGCCTCCACAAAGCTTCCTACATGGGTCAGATCAGCTGCCTTGAATGTAATCTACTGTGGAAGGCAGTGGTCAAACAAGTGTCTTGGTGAGGACACTTGCCTTAGAAGACCAGGCCGTGAGCATGGGAGCTTGGGGTTAATGACAAGCTTCAGATGTCTCAGTTCTGAGAACGCTTGGAATTAATGTCTCAGGACAAAAGGAAGAGAGCAAGAGAACATCAAGAGAGGTCCAGCTACAAATAGATTATTATTTATTTAGAGACAAGGTCTCACTATGTTAGCCCCAGCTGGCCTAGAACTCACTGTGTAGATCAGACTGGTTTCAGATTCACAGAGATCCACCTGCCTCTGCTTCCCAATACAAATAGATAAAAAAAAAAAAAAAAAAAAAAAAAAAAAAAAAAAAAAAAAACTGAGGAAATAACTAGGCTTCTAGAGAGTGCCATTCCCACGTCTCAGTCTAGGAGGGCTCTTTCGGGTGTTCGCCTCAGCTGCTGATAGTTCACAGGAAACCTGAGATTTTCTAACTGCTAGTGCTGTTTGCATATGGGTAGTACCCAGGGCCCGCTGCCTCCCCAATGATACCAACAGTTAGGATGAAAAATGCTTTTCTGGGATACTCTGCCAAACCAGGCAGGGTAGGTGTCTTTCTAGGTTGGAGAAACAGGCCACAAAAGCAGCAGCCCTTGGGATAAGCCTGACTGTACGTGTCCTCCATAGTCAAGATGTGACTGCTGAGTCCTAGCTTGCTCTTCCTCCTACCTCCTCCATGTCTTACAAAGAGGTGTGGAGTGCTGGGGTGTAAGTCCTCCCTTGTCAATGAGAATTCATTTGTCTGGATTTGGGGAAGCCAGAACTCAGTACATCTAGGGGACAGTCTGGACAAAGGACATGGAAAAGATTGGTTTCAAATAAGATGGTTGTGATGTTGTAGGCCAAGAGAGGTAAGATGAGGCATTTCTGAGGAAGCTGCCCATGAAGTAGAAAGTGTCTGTCTGCACCTTTGTCTTTGAGCCCTAGCTGAAGCCTTGAAGGAATGCAGCACAAAGCTCCTTTCAAACAGGTGGGGTAGGTCAGATTTGGTGGTGCACTTCTTTAATCCCAGCACTTCTTTAATCCCAGCACTTCTGAGGCTAGAAAAAGTGGATCTCTGATTCTGAGGCCAGCCTGGTCTACAGAGTGGGTCCCAGACCAGCCAGAGCTACTTAGTGGGGGTGGGAGAGGATGGAGGAGGGAGGATTCTAAGACATTGAGCTTGATTCTGCCTGAGGCACCGTCTTTCCTGAGACCCTGCCTTGGATCTAAGCTGCTTCTAAGTAGCCTTCAATGAAAAGAATCATCAAAGAACAAGTAGAGGCAACTTTATCACAGATCTTTTTTGTTTATTGTTTTTTGATTGGATTTTTTGTTGTTGTTGTTTTGTTTTCAAGGCAGGGTTTCTCTGTGTAACAGCTCTGGCTGTCCTGAAACTTGCTTTGTAGATCAGGCTGGCCTCAAACTCACAAAGATACTCCTACCTCTGCCTCCCAAGTCCTGGGATTAAAGGTGTGTGCCACCACCACTCAGCAGCACAGCTCTTTTAAATAACTCTTGATAAAATTTAACGGATTATGAAGCAAGAGTGTGAAAGGTGAATCCACAGGCACGGGCCAAGATGGGAACCCCAGTTGCTAAAAATGACCCCGATTGCCACTGTACTTCCTTGTCAGTGACAGACAGTATACCACTGCAAACAGCTTTGGGATGGAAGGTAAAGGCAGCTTCCTTCTGGCTCTTCCACCTTCAGTTATGATGGCTGCCTGTTGGGAGGGGTGTGGCTAGGAGCAAGGCTAGTTCTGTCCCTTGTGGCAGTGGGCAGGATTTAATCACCTTTTGGAACACAATTGTTAAACTGGAACAGAGGGAGTGCAGGCAGAAAGCAAGTATCAATGGTTTTAAATGGCATCTGTCTCTATGCAACTCTCCTGACGTGAGGCAGTGAGACGAGTTATCGAGAAGGCCCGGAAAGTGGCTAAGTGCGTTTGACACACGCCAACTCCCTGCCTCCACACTGGATAATTGCATTGTCAACTGTTCAGCGAGGTGGCAGGTGACACTGCAGGCCGATTGATTGTCCCGCATCGCAGCTCCCCAGACTGTCAGCTCCCCAATCGATGGCGTTTACACAAGACACCGTAACTGCATCTGTAACTAATTCCAGTGTAAAACTCCCCGGAAGCTGCTGCCCCTGCCCTCCTCTAGGTGAGCACAGGGCTCTAGAAGGTCCCTTTCTCCCCAGGTTCTAGTTTGGTTGGGAGCAGCAGGTGAAATCAATGGTTCCTTTTTTTTGTGGTTTCAGGTTCCAGGATGTTCCTGCCCCCAGTAAACGGGCATCTCCAGTTTCTCAATCGATCATTTGATCAATTGATTAAATTAACACTGATTTCCCCCCCCCCCATGGTCCAGGAAGAAATGAGTTTATGGGAGAAGGGTCATTTTCATAAAATTTAGACTTACATGTCATTTCTGCACTTAACCCTCTCCCACTCTGTTCCAAGCATTCACTTGAAGGAAGGGAACTCTGCCAGGGACTGTTGACCATCAGACTTAGTTCGCCAGCCATTTTGTCCTTTTCATCTGGAGCAGAACCATAGCAGAGGGGCCTCCCTGGTGACCGGGAGCTGTTCTGAATCATCTTGGAAGTCCTAGGGACCTAGTTGTTCCCTGCACAGCAGTAGCAGGAGCAGCTTGGCTGCTCTTCCAGAGCTACATGGAAGAGGGGCCAGAGACTTGGAAAGGAGTTGTCTTTGCCATCTTGCCTATGAGTACTGGCTTGGGATGTTCCAGCAGCTGAGAACATAAAATGACTGTGGAGCCTTCCTCTCCAAGATTGAGGAGGGGGGCAAGCTGGCAGGGTGCTTTCCGTATAAAAACAGCTTTATGGCCATTTCTTTTTATTATGATTCTGCCAGAAGTCAGCAAGTGACATTTCATTAAGAAAATAAAGTTTAATGTGCTGGGAAGGAGGTTGGGAGCAGGTTGGGGTGAATACCAGAGTAAAATTGGTGGTGGCAGCCTGCTTGGAACACCTGTGGGGATAGGGAGAGGTTCCCACATCTGTCCCAGCTGGGGGACAGCATCAGTGTCTGAGTAGACTGCTCAGGCCAGAGGCAGGACGGCCTTCTCCTTAGGTAACAAGATGCATCGTGCCACCCTCTTTGCTCTCCAGTCAGAGGAACCAAAGGTTGCTGCCAAACTGGGGCAAGACTCTTGTTAGGTTTCTCTGTGCACTAACCAACCAGGTCTGGCCTTCCTTCTGGAGCAGTATTGGCAGTATTGAGTCAGTACTGCTGGGGTGTGCTGTGTGGATGATGCTGGAAGTCAGGCTTGTGAGCCTGGAAGATTTCAGTCTGGTGGGGAACAGTCCATGCAGTCCTAGAGTTGTTGTATAAGAGCTAGGATGGACACTAAGGAAGACACAGGTGTGTAAGTACCCCGAGGAAGTCACCACTCAGAGCACCTGGAGAATAGGACCAGATCCTGAAATGTTTGTTCATGCCACACCAGACAGGTTGGCCTCCAAAAGGCTGAATGAGTATTGGAGGTGAAAGGTCATTCGTTTATTTAGCAAGAGGAAAGTACTTCCAGTCACTGGGCTGCTTCACCTGTTGGGGCTTCCTGGCAGCTTTGATTTCTATTTGGCCAAGGGAGCCACCTTAACCTCAGAGGTCTAAAGAACTCTTTCATCTTCTCCACCCACAAAGCAGGGGTAAGCTAGGCTGAGCAGGGAACATGAGGCTGCTGCTGAGCTGCATATACTTAGGAGTGGGGGCTGGCAGGGCTTGTGGGGTGCAGGCTGTAAATGAACCTGATAGCTACATTCTGATTGATGGTGGAGTTTGTCTCCCAAACTGTCAGAGGGTTTATAGAGGTGCCACTCACCCTCAGGGTGGGAATTGCTTGTCAGGACACCTGGCTGTGAATAGGAGACAGAGCTGTAACTTGGTGTTTTCTCAGCCTAATGGCTCTGCTGCTGACCTGCCTGCTGCCTCAAGTGTGTCAGTCCCTCTGGGTAGGTGCCAAATGAGGACTGTCAGGGAAGGTAGATCCTAGGCGCTGACTGGCTTTCTGGGGTGGATGGATGGGATCTTAGACCATAGACTGAAGGGGTAAAGAAAACAGGTACTGCTTGAAAGTATATCTTGATGAAGTGTTCGGCGCGAGTGCAAGTCGTTAGATGTGTCTAGGACCCAGCATGCATTTCTTGTGTCTGCATACATAGGCTCTGGAATGAAGGGAGAATGTGGACATGTAGACTTCACCGACTTCACTGGGAAGAAGAGTCGACCTGTATGGCTAAGTGGGATGAGGCAGGAAGCAGACATTTCTGAAATCACTGGGCGAGCTCTAAGCTTCTTCCTCGATGCAAGAGATTCCTTTGCTGGTCCTTTTGGGCAGAGTCCTTCATCTTCCTTTATACCTGGCAGAGCTGCTGATCTGGCTAGTAAGATGTCACAGGAGACCCACTGGGACAAAGCTGTCAGGAAAGCTCTTTGATCTCTGATCTTGGCCTATCAGGATGTGTGGTTCTGGGAGTCAGACCACCTGGTATATGAAGTGTACTTGGTAGCTCACCCTTCACTTTAGCCAAGAGTCTGCCTTTGGCTGGGCCAAATGACCCCTGGGGATCAGCAGACTGTCTGGCCCTCAGCCTGCCTTGCCCAGCCTAGTTGCCTTCAGGAGTGCTCTGAGAGGCAGGTGTGCGTGCCGATCCTCCTCCTCTGTCTTTTCTAATCCCTTTCTAACTACACTTGTCCAGGAATCTGGGCTGTGTGAGGTGGAGATGAATAATTAATGTCAGGCGCTTCAGACACCAAATATTTGAACAGCTGCCTGGTGTTTTTGCTGGCAAAGGACCTGGTGGCCCAAATCAGGATGTTGGCTGGGGAGGGGGAGGTCCCTACACTGTGGCTCTGATTGGCCTTGCTTGGCCAGCCTTTTCTCCTCTGATGGACCTCAAGCTGGACAGTGAGATAGAGGGAGGCTCAAGTCATAATCAGGAGTGACCTGAGTTTCTCTACCCTCTTTCTGCTCTTCTTGGAACTAGAAGATAGGTATACAGGAGGCTTGTTACAGACCCCTCTAAGAACCTGACATAGTGTATGATTGTGCCAGTTTATAAGCAGAAACAACCTGGAGCTGCATGGAGTATGTTAAAAGGTGAGAGAGGGGGACAGAAATAGAGTCGGAAATACCTGGGTGTTGCCAGACAGTTGTGACTCACTCCTTTAATCCCAGCACTGGGGAAGCAGAGGCAGGTGGATCTCTCTGTGAGTTCAAGACTAGCCTGGTCTACATAATGAGTTCTAGGACACCCAGGGTTGTTATACAGAGAAACCCTATCTCAAAAAAACAAAAAAGACCTGAATATCTGCTTGCATATATTTCTGTCTAGTCTTGGACCTAATTCCTACCTGGAAGCAGCAGAAGGGGCACCCTTGGCCTCTGGCGTTTTTTACACTCTGCTTCCCACAGGTTCCGGCTTCGTCATGTGCAGTGGCAAAGAAAACCCAGACAGTGATGCTGACCTGGATGTGGATGGAGATGACACTCTGGAGTATGGGAAACCACAGTATCCTTGGGGCAAAATGGGGCAAACCAACAATAACAAAAGTAGCTGGTGCCTCTAAAACTTGATCATACTCCTCAAGCTAGTCTCAGCTTTGGGACAGGAGTGCTCCTGAGGATTCAGAGCCCCTGTGGCCTACCACAACCTTGGATCTATTGTCCTTGACCACCATGTCAGATACACAGAGGCCGATGTCATCCCTTGCACAGGAGAAGAGCCTGGTGAAGCCAAGGAGAGAGAGGCACTCCGGGGTGCAGTCCTAAAGCAAGTGTGGGCAAAGCCTCGGGCAGGTTCTGTGGAGGGATCGCTGCAGGCAGGGCTCAGCTGTCCTCACTTTGTTCCTTCTCCTTTCTTTCCTCTAGTGGTGGCCCCCCCAGCACCCGTATCACACCTGAGTTCTCTAAATGGGCTAGTGATGGTAAGTCCTGACCTAGACTAGCAGGCCTGGGGTTGAGGGAGGACATGTTTAGATAGTGATGACTATGTGAATCCCAAGCCCTCAACTGAGTTGCTTATTCATCTAGCCAGAGTATGAGTTGAGCTTTTGTCCCTGCAGAGATGCCATCCACTAGCAATGGTGAAAGCAGCAAGCAGGAGGCCATGCAGAAGACCTGCAAGAACAGTGACATTGAGAAGTAAGTATGGTTGTCTGAGAGAGGGGCCCTTTGCTAGCAGGAAGGCCTGCTGCCAGAGCTTATGGCACTCTGAGTACAGCTTGGTCTTGCTGCCCTGGGCACACAGCCAGCAATGGAACCCAGCTGGTGCTAAGCGTGACTCTGTGAATTGATCACTGGGCCATGGCCCTGGGAGCCTTGGTGGAGAGACGAGCGGTCCTTCCCTACCCGCTGTAGCTGCCCCCACCCGAGGAATGTGATGTATGGCCACCCAGCCCAGCCAGTGCACTTGATTCATCTCCAGTTTCTGTTTCTTAATCGGGAGCTAAATTGGTTTCATTTTTCTTGTCCCGGGTGGCACTTGCAGCGGGTTTTAGGCGGGAGCATTGGGTCTCATCACTTGTAGTAGGAATTTTTGGCCAGGGTACTCCAGCAGGAGAAAAGGAGCTCCATTGTTTCTTTACCTGGGGCTGCTGGACAGCGCCACAGGATTTGGTGTCAGCTGGCCGTCCTGCTGCCTTTCCAGAAGCCAGAGAAAGGCCATACTGGCTGCAGGAAGTGCTATTGTCCAGTCTGGCTGCCTAGAGTGACTGCCATTGGTCATTGCTTATCTCCCTGAACTTGCCCCTCCCTCCAGCTGGAGGCTAGGTTGCCTGGGGTTAAAAGGTAGCCTCTTCATTCTCGGGCCAGTGTTCCATCTTGCCTGCTGCCACAAGAGTGGCTTGCAGGCCAGTGCAGGGCTGGGTCGGTGGCCTGGGTCACCTCCCATTTGTTTCCCTCCATTTTGTGTTGTCATAAATTCATTCCAGCCCGTTGTGCTTGATCAGTTTATCTCGGCCGGGGCCGCAAGTGCTGCTGGCATGATGTATGGGCCGCAGCGCAGGGCCCGTCTGCCCATGAATCACCGCAGCTGCTCCGTGTCAGCGCCGGAGCGGGCCATACGGATTCGGTGCAACCAGCTTAGGGAGGGGGGGTGACGTATGGATGTTTATTTAATAATTCTCTCCTACTCCAGCTGAGCGGGGCGGGCGGGGCTGTAAGGGGCGCCTACCCTCGTCTGGAGGGGCTGCTCATAAATCAGAAAGACAAGATCATTAATCAAGGATGGCGCCCAAGGGGGAGGTAGGGGCCAGAGCCAGTGGCCATCCATGAAGGTGCTATCCACCCAAGGCTGGGGGAAGTCAGCATTTCTGTCCCACCTGTGAGCACAGGCTTGGGTGGGTGGGGCACTCTAGGACAAGGTGGGGACTGATTGCTGCTATACAGAGATCTCCACTGGGTCTATATCCACCAGGATTGATGCTCTTCAGTCCCCATGGCATCCTAGTTCACCAAGTATGGGTTCCAGCCCTAGGTCCATTTTATATCCAGGGAAGGGAAAAAACCCATCCATTGAGAATTTACCAACCATCCAGATAGGGATGCCAGAGAAGCTAGCTCTGTAGGTGCTAATGAGGGAGAAGTGGATGAAGACTTCCCAAAGGTTGAGATGGAGCAAGGAGCTCCAGGGAACCTACCAGCACTAAAAGGAACTGGCAAAAGCGGGTGGATAATTATTAGCCCATCACGTACTGCCACTAGGGAGCCACATTCTGTATTGCTACTGATGCCCTAAAAAAAATTAGAGATTGAAATTTGTTGTACATTAAATGTTACTACTACCAGCTGGGCATGGTAGTACATTCCTATAATCTCAACACTCTGGAGGCCAAGAAAGGAGGATTGTGGGTTTGAGGCTAGCCTAAACTACATAGTAAATTTGAAGTTAGCCTGAGGTATGTAATGAGACACCATCTCCAAAGCATAAAACAATAAATATGTTCCCATGGCCCTCCGTATATTCCCTTCTAACCATTGTGTCCAGTAGTCACAGACCACCTGTAAGTTCTGCACTTTGGTGAACACATTGCCCCCACGCTAGCCCCCTCACTCCAGAATACTGTCCATTCCCACACCATTATTGTGTGGGCCTAGGGACTCTTCTCGTAAACAGGATGGCCTTGGTCTGCCACAGTCTGGGCAGGCTACCGGTTTCTTCACATGTACAATGAGCATCTTCTCACAGGGGTTTAGGAGGTGTAAATAAGATAATTATCAGTTCCTGTCAGTAAGTAGTTAATAAGTTTTAGCTGTTCCCATTTAGTATTTCATACCCTAAGGCACATCCCCAGTATCTTCTGCTCCGGGAAGCATTTCTGTCCTTACAGTGTTCCTTAATGCCATTGCTTTTCAGAGGGGTGGGAGAGGGGATCTCTGAGATTATCCTGGCTATTCCTTCATCTGTGCTGTTGGATCACAGGCTGGAGACTACCTAGAATAGTTAGGTTCCACATCTCTGTCTGTTCCCTGAAGGTTAGACTGGCAAATGTTTTCTCATGCTTACATGCCACTAGTAAATAGTCACTGAAAGAAGTTAACAAGCAAGCCTTGCTGAGGAGACAGACACCTTTGCTGTTATGATGGGGTAAATGGAGTTGAGTACAGAACATCCTGAGAGCCCTCTGGGAGGAGCCTGAGTCATAAGGCGGGGCTAGTGATTCATGTACAGAGGCTGAGGGCGTGGCAAAGAATACTTTGGGGAGAGTGTTTATATGAGTAGCATAAGGATGTGGCGAATTACTGAGGAGAGAGGCAGATAAACTGGGCCAGTTTATTTATGCTGATGGAGACACAAATGCTAGAAATAAAAATGGCTGATTGGCCTTTAGAGCTAGAGGAATGATTACAGCAGAGAAGCGTTTGTTTGGGTTAATAAAGTGATCCTTAGAAAGCATAAGGATGAAAGAGGTGTGGCTCAGTTTGTGGGGTGGATCCCAGCAAGTGAGAAGCCCTGGAGGGGCAGGAAGTACCTTTTTTAAAATGCCCCGATGAAGTTTCATATTTTGAATGTTAATTTAAGAAACAAAAGGGGCTGGAGAGATGGTCCAGCAGTTAAGAGTGTACTGGCTGATCTATTAGAGGTCTCAGGTTCAGCTCACAACTATCTGTACTTCCAGTTCCAAGGCATCTGATGCCCTCTTCCACTCTCCACAGGCACAACATCCCTGCCTGTGGAGATATAAAACTAAATCTTGTTTTAGTTTTTCCAAACAGGGTTTCTCTGTGTAGCCCTGGCTGTCCAAGAACTCACTCAGTAGACCAGGCTGGCCTCAAACTCAGATCCACCTGTCTCAGCCTCCTGAGTGCTGGGATTAAAGATGTGTGCCACCATATCCAAGGTGACTTTTTTTTTTTTTTTTTTTAAACATAAGGACCACAGCATGGTTGTTTATAGTGAGAGTGGGAAGGAATGGAGAATGAGGGCCACAGCATGGTGGTAAAAGTGAGAAGGATGCCAGGTGGTGGTGGTGGTAGTAGAGGCAGGTCAAGCCCAGCCTGGTCTACAGAGTTGAGTTACAGAACAGGCTCCAAAGGTACTCAGAGAAATCCTGTCTCTAAAAACCAAAAAAAAAAAAAAAAATGAATCAATGAATGAATAAAAAAGAAAAGTTCTAAGGACTGGAGATTGCAGAGATAACTGGGAAGAGGTGACAGGTTTTGAAAGCTGAGGATGATAATGAAGATAAGGGGTTGGTGATGGTTGCCAAGCGTCTGGCTTAGACATTCACCAGGTAGACATACAGCAGTACTGAGCTTAGGTCTGGCAGATAGAGATGTTAAGAGATGTTAAGAGGTTTCTTGTTTGATTCTGGGTCAAGGGCACCACCTTGCTACCCTACCCCTCTGTGTCTTGTCTTTACAGAATCACTGAAGATTCCGCTGTAACTACATTTGAGGCCCTGAAGGCTCGTGTCAGGGAGCTTGAACGGCAGCTATCTCGGGGGGACCGATACAAATGCCTCATTTGCATGGTGAGTGGGAAGGAATCAAGGCATACTCTTGGTCAGCATCAGTGCCTTATGGGTGTTGGGGGGGGGTCTTGGCTGTATTTGGACTCTCAGAGGTGAGCCTGCTTCAGTGACCCCTTCTCTGCCCACCTCCTAGGACTCATACTCGATGCCCCTAACGTCGATCCAGTGTTGGCATGTGCACTGTGAAGAGTGCTGGCTGCGGACTCTGGTGAGGAATGAGTGGGCAGCTATTAGAGTAACTGCCCAGATGTTCACGTCTGTAGCTGCATCTGCTTGGGGAGTTAAGCCCCCCACCCCACCCCCAGTTTAATACATTGTCTGCACTCTCACTTTGGGTTTATTCAGTTCTCCCCTCCTGGGCTCAATGCATGCTCCCTTCTTCCCAGCCTGAGAAGGCCTGGGTATATCATATGAATTGGTGAGACCCCAGATCAGAAAGAGGCTGCTGGTGGGTAAGCCAGACCAGGGCCTCTGCCCCTCCCCCTCCCATTACTAAGCTCCTTCTGCTCCTGCCCTGTTCCTAGCTCGGGAGCAGCCATTAAAATGTCGCCCGGAGACAGCAATAAAAGGCCCGGACGTGGGCTCTGTGTCCTGATCAAAGGCCGCGTGTAATCTCGTTAGGGCCGAGGCAGCCACAGCTGGACCCAGCCTTGTTCTCATTACCAGGGCTCCTGCTGCGGGGCTGGCCAGGCGGTTTGATCCTGGCGTCTCCCCAACACAGGAGCATGTCTGCCTGCTCAGAGGCAGCCCGTGCATCCCTAAAGAATGAGGTCCCAGCACAAACTGGTGCAGAGACATGGCTGCAGGCCCACTGCTCATGTGCACAAACACGGGTCATGCTGTGTCTAACTGAGCCCTCCCCTTTTTTCTCTCTTTAGGGTGCCAAGAAGCTCTGCCCTCAGTGCAACACCATCACAGCGCCTGGAGACCTGCGGAGGATCTACTTGTGAGCTAGCCATCCAGGCAGGCCTTGCGTTGAGCAACCCCACCTGCCCCAGCCTCTGTGACAGTGAACCCCTCTCCCTTTGTACATAATTGCACACAGGTTCCCCGTGTACATACATGCACATACACACCCAAACACACATATAGGACTCTGGAGCCAGAGTGGAGCAGCCCTTCCTGCTTGCTCCTTCTGAACTTGGGGACCATGCCTCTTTTGGCTCTGTTTCCAGTGTGGGCAGGAAGGTAGGGATGGGGAGTAGCAGGGCAAGGCTCTTGAGATCCATCCCCTAGACTGACAGACAGACATGCAAACACCAGACTGAAGCACATGTAATATAGACTGTGTATGTTTACAATGTTGTGTATAAATGGGACACTTTGCCCTCTACCGCCTCCCCTTTGGTTGTACGATTTTCTTTTTTTTAATGACTCCTGGAAGCAGTGCCCCCTTCGGGGCTGGCTGGGGGCTCGGCCCATCCACCTCTTAAGGTGCCTGCCTTTCCCTCTCCCATGGCCTCCCTCCCCTTTCCCATGTGCTCGGTGTTCAGTGGTGTATGTGTCTTCTCCCAGACACGGGCCATGTGCCCAAGGATATGATCCTCTCCTTAGTCTTAGCTCATGGGGCTCATTATGAGGAGCTGGGGTAGAGTGGAAAATGGGACCGAGCAGAAACAGGCTGCAGTCCGGCTGGCTGAGGGTGCCTGGCTGCCCAGCCTGCTGTTGAGAACAACTCCTGGGAATAGAACGCGGCTACCAGGGGAAGTGCCGCCTCCCTTGCCCTCCTGTGGGCCCTATGGTGTGATGCTGTGTCTGTATATTCTATACAAAGGTACTTGTCCTTTCCCTTTGTAAACTACATTTGACATGGATTAAACCAGTATAAACCAGCTGCTGTCTGTGTGTGAAGGGGCTGTTGGGTAGGTCAGTGACTGAGGCAGTTGTGAGGGTCATGTTGCAGCATTACACTGTGGTGTGTGAAGCCATGCAGGGGTGGGGGGCCCTGGAGCATCCCAGCAGCTGTGGGGGAGAGATCTGGGCTCCTTGCTATTGATGAGTAAGGGGCTCTAGGTTAATTCCTTATCGATGCAAAATCGTCAGCTCATTAATCACAAAATAGGTCAGAGCTTGGGGTACAGAGGGAGGATATAAGCTCTAGTCCCCAACCTAGGGCAGAAGCAGCTACAGACAAGTGAAACAGGCCACCTGAAACGTGCCTGGGATCACCTGCTGAACTTCATGGTGCCCTGTAGCCTGGTATACTTCCTGCCTAGGTCCACAGCCCCGCACTGGCAGTGAACTGAATGGACACCTAGGCAGATGCTTAAAGGTACAGGTGAGTACCACCATAGACATGACTTGAAGAAAGGAGGATAGACTCAAGGGCCAGGACACAGATTCCTTGACACGTTTTCACAGCAAGAGCCACCTCCCACCTCAAATCCCTGCCTTAGATACCTACTCATACAGAAACCAGGTCTGGTTGGCAGCTCCTGCCTCCCTTTGCACCCAGCAAAGAAGACAAGACCTTGTTGTAACCCAGCAAAGGTCCCTCATGGCCCTCATGCCCTGTGCTTGGTGGCACCAAATATTTAGAGCGTAGCGTCTAGGGTTTGAAATCAAGACTACATGGCTTCCACTGTGAAGTAGCAAACCTGATGATGCCTCGGAAAAGGTAACCGCTTCAGTGGTTCGTTCTAGGAAGCCAGACTTCTTTTACGTCTCTACTCTCCCCTTCCTTGCCTTGGACTTAGTGAGTCCTTGGCAGCTGCTTAGCCCCACCCCAGGGGCCAAGTACTCTTTAATAGGGAGGGCATGTTCAACACAGGGCAGGCATTCTACCAAAGCATGTCTTAAGCTGTCTCACGGCACAGGCAACACTGCCACCTGTTGGCCATGGCTAGGAATGCAGCCACATCTCCACGGAATCAGGAAAGTACCTGAGAAGCAGAGGAGGTTTGATGCCCTGCTAATAGGCCTTTGGAGACTAGGGGTATATCACATCTTCCTCTTTATTAATACACAGCCATCAAATTCCTTCAATTCAACGGCTCCCTAACAAAGTGTGTGGCATCAGGCAGACTCCAAATACCCAAATCCTCAGACATCTGATGTCTGACCACAAGGTTAGTGACAACTTCTCCAAGTGACAGGCCACGTGGGGACAGTGCTTAATGTGTAGCTTTGTCCTTCAAGAGACAGCTCTGCTCCCCAGCCTCTCTCTCTACTTAAGGTACCTTCCATCCAAGAAATGAAAACTCAAGCCAGGCATGGTGGCATATGCCTGTAATCCCAGTACCTGGGAGGTGGAGATGGGAAGATCAGGAATTCAAAGTCATCCTCAGCTACATAGATTGAGGCAGCCTAGGCTACATCAATCACACATGCACATGCACACGCACACACACACACACACACACACACACACACACACACGCACGCACACCCCTACCTAAACTCAGTTCTTGGAACAAGAATAAAACTTCAGTTATCCAAGATGATTACATTCTAAATCATGCAAAGTAACTAAGAAGGGGGATCTGCTATGCATTCTGTACACATAGTACTGTGTACCCATAGTTAACAATGGGGCCATTGACTGCACATCTGGAATGTTGTTAAGAGGTCCTATGTGAAGGGTTCTTACACAATCCAGGTGTGTGCAGCTGCACTTATGTGCAAATGCATGTGGGGGCCAGAGGTCCACCCAGGGTGGCTCTCAGGCACCATTCACCTCGCCCATTGAGACAGGCCCTGTCACTGGCCTGGGGTTCACCACTAGGCTGCGCCAGTTGGCTGGAAAGCCTCCAGTCACCTGACTATCTCCACCTCCCCAGAGGTGGGATTTTAAGTGTGTGCCACCGTGCCTGGGTTTTTTTTTTTTTTTTTTTTTTTTTTTTTTTTTTTTTTATGTGAGTTCTGGGTTTGAACTCATGACTGTACAGCCAGCACTTTACCACTTTGTTTTCAAAACAAGTCTGGGGTTTAGCCTCAAGCCATTCACCCAACACACAAACTATTAACCTTTTACAGCCCAAACACCGTAAGAACATTGCACTTGTCCAAATAACTGCAAGGCTGCCCAATGGAAACTTGCCTTGGCACCCCCATCCCAGGGTCTGAGGGAGCAGCCATGCCAGCAGTCCTTCAGGACAGATGTAGGTTGAAGGGAGGTGCCCGGCGTTTATTTCTGAAGCAGGACCTCAGCACTGGACACAGTTTTGCATGAAGTCGACACACAGACTTGTATAGTAAGTAGGATAGTCACGGAGGTGGCTGACATGCGCCGATGACACAAAGTCCACCGAGCGCACCAGGACCTGGTGAGCCAGGCGTTCCTCTACCATACGTTCCACATCCCTGGCTGAGACTACCTCATCAGCTCTGGAGTAGAGGTAGAGCTCAGGCCAGTGGGAGCCTGAGTCCTGCAGCCTGTCATAGAAGTGGGTGTGGAAGAGGGCAGTGAACGGGGAAAGCAGGAAGTGCAACAGGACTACCACCAAGGCAAAAGCCACTAGGAGCAACAGGCGCAGCACAGTAGGCCGGCGCTCCAGGATGATTGCCAGGGCCCTCAGGGCCCCTACTAGGTTGCTATCACCAGGACCACTGTCAAACACGGTGCCCACCACATGCAGGTGGCGGAAGCGCTGATGGGTCTGGAGGAGCTCCAGCACGTAGCGGTAGAGCATGACGCCGCCATTACTGAAGACATGGAAGAGCAGAGGCTCCCTCTCAATCTCGTAGTCAAAGAGGAGCTCGAGCAACTTCTGGGCCATCACACGAAGGGAGGGGATGCCCAAGGATTCAGAGAAGAAGACCATGTGCCAGGGAGCCGTGTATCGGATCACAATGCAGCCCTGGAGAGACGAGAGGGACCAGGTCAGTCCCAGGATACGGTGGGTGGTGGGCACAAGTTAGTCAAAGGAGCCCAGTAGCTCTAATTTTCACAGTTCTGTTGTAGCTAGCTCACCAGCTGCAGATTCAGGAGTGGAGGCACACTCGAGGCCTGCTGTTTTGTTGTCGGTGGTAGAGTTTTTGTTTGTGTTTTTTTGAGACAGGGTTTCTCTGTGTAGCCCTGGCTGTTCTGGAACTAGCTCTTGTAGACCAGGCTGGCCTTGAACTCACAGAGATCCGCCTGCCCCTGCCTCCCGAGTGCTGGGATTTTAGGCGTGCTCACGGCCTGTTTTTGAACACCCTGCTTCATGCTGTCCATGCCTCCTCAGCCTGGGATGGTATTTGAAGCCTGGAGCTGACAGCATGCTTTGGAAACATGTGATCCAGCCAGAAGAAAATCTCTTCACTCTAGTTCCCTCTATGGCGTCCTCCTGACCAACCCAACCCTACAACTTGTGTAATTAAGGCCTTGGGACTTGGATATACCACGGTGTGGCTACTTTGCATCCCCATGAGACAGAGAAAGCATGCAGGCCCCATCCTTAACCACCAGAGGGTGCTTCTGAGCCAGATCTACACAGCGGTCCTGTCCTCTTCCCTGTTGCAGTGCCCTGAAAACAAGAGTCCACACTGTTTGGTTTGGGGGTCTGACCTTTAATTATATCTGGTACTTAGGATCACTTCTCACACTCACCTTGAAATTCCAAACCAGAAGGAAAGAGAGAAGGAGGGAGGGAGGGTAGTAGGGAGGGGACTAGAAACAAAATAAAAGAAATTCCAAATCCAGAAAACATTGTTGCTCTTAATCCAAACATCTAGGCCCAAGCTCACTTTCAGCTTCCATACCCTTATTGCCTGTGTCAAGTGTACCTCTAACCCTCTGTACAGGTCCCCTTGAAGGCCACATGGAGAAGGCACCAAATACTACCCTGTCTGGGCCTTAGCCCCTCTTATTAATTTGTTCTAGAGACAAAGAAGTCTCTCTGTCAGGGGGCCCTGAGTTGGGCAGGCTTTGGGGTCAGACAGGTCTGCACTTAATTTTTGGCCCCGCCACTTATTAACTTTCTGGGCAAAGAGTAATTTATTTCTTCTTTCTCTGTCTCTGTCCCCATCTATAATTGGGATGACACTCACTTCAAAAGGTTATGGTAGAAGTTAAATGAAAAAAAAAACGTATCTCAAGTGACAAAAACAGCACCTGTCACAAAGTGAATCCTCACAGCAATAACAAGGGGAGAAGTGTATGGCCACAGTTCTCCGATGACCCAAGCAGGAAAGGCCAGCCATGGTCACCAGCCATAGACCCCTGAGCTTCCAGCCATGGAGGTGCTAAAAACTCTGGAGGGGGTGCCTGAGTTTGCCCACACTCCCAAATGGTTGTCTAATGGAGGCTTTTTAGCCCCCATTGCTACTCCCCAACTCCAGCAGCAGGCGGAACTACACACTTGTACATATATTCCCTTACAGCCCGGTCTTCAGTAAGTCAAAAGCAAGGACCTTTTTAAGTCACAAGAAAGAATACATAGTTAAGGAACAAGAGAATGACCTGCAGTGTGTGATCCTGGATTGGACTCTGGGGTTGGACAAACCAGCTGTATAAGATGCTTTGGGAACATACTACTTGGGTATCCATACATGGACTGGATAAAATGAACTATGCAACGAACATGTAATGATCATGGACATGCAACAAAAACTTACTAACAGGACAAGATGGGGTCCGTGGTCTAAAAGGTACACAGAGAAAACCTAGGTGGATGCACCCCTTACAGGGGAAGCTGAGGGGATAGCTAGATGGCATTATAAGGAGGTGTTATTTTCCTTCAAATAAAAAAAAAAAGTGGGAGTTTTAGACTGGAAAACTTTTTTCTTCACACCCATCTTCTCTTTGCTAGGGGTAAAGGCAGCCCTTCCTCTCCGAGGCTGCCCCGGCAGCTGCCCTGCTAGCCCAGCCCCTGTTCCCTGGGACCTTCCACCACTTTCTTCCTCACACTTTCTGCCCACATAACAGCCTTACTCTCTGAAAAGCCACCTTCCCAAAGACTCTCCTATGGACCGGCATGCCTTCTAAGGTTTTCTTGTAGAAGTCTTTTCCTGTAGAAGTCTTTTCATTAAGTCTGTGTTCCTCATGGCTTCCCTAAACGATTTTTGCTATCTCCTCACATTTCTAGTGTCTCATCACCCTAGAACCTATCTTTAATGTTCCACCCTCTTTAATGTTCCTGTCTCAAAAGCACAACTCTTTACCCAGAAAGTGCCCCAGCCTAGACTCTGACATGACCCTATTTATGCCTCCTTATCCTACTCCTGATCTCTGCAGAGCTACCATTAACCACTAACCTACCATTCTTCCTCCCACTAGCTCTACAACCCATCACCAGGCCCCAGGCTCCTCTGCACTGGACTTACAGAAATTCCCTCTAAACTACTTCTGGCTTCCAGTGCCAGTGCTTCCAATCCTTCCTCCTCCACTCTGCAGCAGCAAAGGGCTCCCCCGAGCCCTTTGTGTGTGTATGTGGTTTTTCGAGGCAGGGTTTCTCTGTGTAGCCCTGGCTGTCCTAGAACTTGCTCTGTAGATCAGGATGGAACCACAGATCCATTTACCTCTGCTTCCCAAGCGCTTGGCTTTAAGGCATGTGCCACCGATGAGCTTTCTTACTAGCAAACCTAACTTTACAATCCCACCTAATCCTCTGAGGACCAGGCCCTGGTGTCACTCTAAACACATACACTTTGTCTCCTTGATTTGTACCCCCTCCTGAAGGCTGCTTTGAGGAGATCAGGTGTAAAAGGGGGTTTTCTACACTGTACTCCAACCCCCCTGGGACCCTTGCTAGTTACAACTTCCACATCCACATTTTAGAGCCGCCTAAGAAGCATGACTCTTCTCTAAGAAACCCTCTGACCCTGGGAATGGGGAGGAAAGGTGCTGTCACTCCGAAGTTCTCCTGGTCAGAAAAGGAGGAGATCCTAGAAAACTATGCCTGGTGCACACTGTCCCAGCTCCTGCCATCCAAAAAGGCATGATTCAGGATGTGGGGTGAGAACTTACGTCACAAACTAGAGAACAAACACATCTAGGCCCTGGGGGAAGAAGAAATGGGTAACAGGACTGAAGCAGCTGCATGAGGGCATGGTATAATGCTGTCCAAGTCCTGTGAGGTCGCTGTCTTCCTCACAGGTCGCTGGCACTGCTCTAGGGCGCCACACAGGTGGTCAACCTTTGCTCCATCCCAAAGGTGAAGCAGCCAAGTTTAATGTTCCCCACAAAGCAGCAGAGTAGCAGAGGCCCACATCCTGGGTGAGCACTTGCCCACAGTACTCACCCTTTTGTGATAGATGGCGCTATACTTGGCCAGGTTCTTGTCCCTGCAGCCTCCCCAGCCCAAGAGAATCACCACAGGCAGTCGCTTCCTGGCCTTCTTCCCATCATGGCAGGGGTTCTCTGAAATATAGATGGGGAGTGTCAACACCAGAGGCAGGATTGGGGTTCTGACCAATCTAGAGCTGTGGGCAGGCGGCTCTTGCCCCATCCCTCTGGCCAGCTGTCTTTTCGTAGACCTTTGTGGAGGTGCCATGGCATCACTGGGAACACCCACATTTAGTAACTCAAATCCCCAGAAAATGAAGTGAATGCCCTTTCCAGACAGCATCAACTTCCAGCCCAGGGAACCATGACCTGTGGGCTAAATCAGACTGTTTTCCTTTCATTTTAAAACATTACATTGATTTCTTTGTGTGGGAAGGGTTAGGGGTGCCAGAGTGTTTGGAGGTCAGGGAATGACCTTCAGAGTTGGTTCTCTGACAGAAGCACTGGGTTTGAACTCAGTCCTCAGGTTTGAACAGCAGCTACATTACCCATGAGACACCTTCCCAGCTCCAAAAAATGGTTTGTTTTTTGTTTATTTTACATTGCTGGAAATCAAACTGAGGGCTCCACAGTGCTCTATCACTGAGCTACCTCAAGACCAGGCTTTCTTTTCTTTTCTGAGACAGTCTTACTATAGCCCCGGTTGGCCTAGAACTCGCTATATAGATCAGGCTGGCCTCAAACTCACAGAAATCCATGTGGTTCCACCTCCTGAGATTAAAGGCATGCACCACCATGCCAGGCCCCACTCTTTTACATTTTTTAATGGGTAGAAAAAAATCAGTGTGGTGACACATACCTATAATCTAGCCCGAGGGAAGCTGAGGCAGGGGGCCTGAATGGCAGAGAGCAGCCTGGGCTACATGGGAAACCACAGTCTTTAAGAAATCACAATACAATCATATGACATTTTAATGCCTGTGTATATAGCTGGGCATGGTGGCACATGCCTTTAATCCCAACACCCAGGAGACAAGCACATGGATCTTTGGGAGTTGAGGCTAGCATGGTCTACATAGCAAGTTCTAGGACAGCCAGAGCTACATAGAGAAACCCTGTCTCAAATAAATAAATAAATAAATAGTGGGTGGTAGTGGCACACACCTTTAATCCCAGCACTGGGGAAGCAGAGGCAGGTGCATCTCTGTGAGTTCAAGGCCAGTCTTGTTTACAAAGCAAGTTCCAGGACAGCCAGGGCTAGCAGAGAAACCCTGCCTTGAGAAACCAAAACTAACAAATAAATAAATAAATCTGTAAATCTACAAAAAGCCCTATTTGATGTCTGGAACTGTAGATCAGTGGCAATCAGCTTGCCTGGCACAAATACAGCTGTGGATTCACTTTCTATCACATGGGTGTGCATTCAGGGGCCTGGAGATGTAGCTCATTTAGCAGAGTGCTGGCCTAACATGTAAAGCTGTGGGTTCAGTCCCCAACACCATAAACCCAGCATGGCAGAGTCCATGCCTGCTATCTCAGCACTTGGGAAGTGAACCAGAAGGGATCAGGAGTTCAGGGTCATCCTTGCTTACATAATGAGTTTGAGACTAGCCTTTGCAACATGAGACCCTGTCAATAAAGAGTTACATTGGAACACAGCCATTCTTACCCAGTTTAGCTAGTGTCTATGGCTACCTTCAGATGAACACAGCACAGACGAGTGGCTACAAAAGAGATGGCTCACAAAGCCTTAAACACCACTGTCTCTTTACAGAAAAGGTTGGCTAGCCTCTGTTCTAATCTATGAATGCATGGAGGGAAAAGATCTTAAGAGAACTAGAAGTGTTTAGGGCAAAGCTCAGCTGATACAATGCTTGCCTCACATGTTCAAGGCCCTGGGTTCGACCCACAGAACCACACTAGGCATGGTGGTGCATATCTATAATGCTAGCTCTCCAGAGGCTGGCCGATCAGAAGTTCAAGCTTGTCCTCAGCTACAAAGTAAAGTCAAGGTTCAAAGCCAGCCTGGGGTACATGAGACACCCATCTCGAAAAAATAAAAATAAAATAAGAGAACAAAAGACCTGGGTAAAACAACTTAAGCAGGCACAGGAGACTGACTGGCCACACCTCCCCTGCTGTCAAGAGACTGTATTCATGGAACTTTAGCCCCTATAACAGCATGGGGGCAGGTATGCTGTGTAGTCCCTGCTCCCCAGTCTGAGAACCCCACCCCTGTTAGCCCCACCCACAGCTGGAAGCATGCCTCCTTCAGTGATATACTTAGGAGTTCAAGCTGTCAATCTGAAGAGGCCTCCCTAAAACCATGTCCCACCTACCCCGCAAGGTGAGTGCCATCCCCAATGCATGCATTTGCACAAGGACTGTCTGTAGCTAGACAGCCGGCCTCTAAAAAGGGCTGGCGCGTATGCACCCTTCCAAGGACCAAGCCACTTGGCTATGCTCATCCGACACCTGAAATTTATTGATGCTGGTGGTGACCTGGCAACAGTAAATTTCAAGGCTAGTTAGAAGATGGTAAATATAAATCACTAACCTTTGGACAAAAGGAAGACAACAATTTCCTGTGGAAATTAATGTGATTGAAAAGTTCAATGTTCCTGCTCTCCGGTAGCGGTGACTCTGGCCTTCAGAGATTAACTGCGCGCACCCGCAGGGCTCTAGGCAAGATGGAACAGCAGCTGCCAGCCCCTCGGTCCCTTGCTGACACCTGCCATCCCTTCCAGGCTTACCAACTCAGGTGGCTCCAAACACTCACAGCCTTTCTTGTCCCTGGGCCCCTCTATCTTCCACCAGGGTGGCACCTCAGGACCTGTGCTGTGTGGGTGGGGAGCAGCCCAGCCTTGCCCACCACAAGCTCAGGCAGCTTCAGGCTCCTGGGTTAACCAACAGCTACCCATTCCCACCCACTGGATGAATCTCTGAGGTGCAGCCACTGGATTTCATATCCACCAGTGGCCACACGACAAGGCCAGCCCCTCACAAACAGAAAGGGCATCCCTTTCTTTCCTTCTTTCTTTCTTTGTTTTGTTTTTCGAGTCAAGGTTCCTCTGTGTAACAGCCCTAGCTGTACTAGAACTCACTTTGTAGACCAGGCTGGCTTCAAACTCACAGAGATCCGCCTGCCTGTGCCTCCTGAGTACTGGGATTAAAGGTGTGCACCACCACTACCTGGCCAGAAAGGGCATCTCTCTTCTTTTTTTTTTTTTAAATTGTATTTATTTATATTTTATGTATGAGTGCTCTGTATGTATACCTGCATGCTAGAAGAGGTCATCTATCCTATTGTAGATGGTTGTGAGCCACCATGTGGTTGCTGGGAATTGAACTCAGGACCTCTGGAAGAGCAGCCAGTGCTCTTAACTGCTGAGCCAACACTCCAGCCTCAGAAAGGACATTTCTAAACAGAGATTTGACCAGGCTCTGCAGAGCTTCCAAACTGCCCTTCCAACACTGAGCCCTTCTGCTCAGCTCTGGAGTGAGATCTGTTAGGTTCCTTAGGAGATGACTCTCAAGATGTGCGTCTCTATGAGGGCACAGTGCCCTGGACATCCTGCCCATTCCCAGAGCCCAAGCACTCCCTTCCAAGAACCAGTCTCTACTCTCCAGCGTCTGTACCCAACATGCTCTTCACCAGGGCCGGGGAGTGCACACTCCCCTCTGGAGTTCACATTTGCTTCTGCTTCTCTGTGGCACTGAGAATGGAACCCAGCGCCATGCGCATGGTAGGCAAGCAATTTAGCACTAGGCTTTACCCACCATTGTCCCTTTGGATTCTATACATGAAAATTCTATAAAGAAACCTTTAAAATATGGTTTGGAAAGTGCTAGTGACCAAAAAAGTCTGCGTGAGGAAGTCACACTCCCTGCAGTGGCCTCAAAGGTCCAGTGGGGACATGCAGGGTAGACAGAGGGCATGGGCAGGGCAGGGCTGAGTTAAGCCATCTGGGCCACAGCAAGCATCCTGGTGCTGGGACCCTGGAGGACAGAGAGCAATGGACAGAAGAGCAGCAAAGAGTGGGACTGGGGCTTGAATCCACTGAATTGGGAGGTTTATTCCATAGCAATGCAATGTAACGGGAAAGTGGCATGGTCCAATCTGTTACTGATTAATGTAGACTTACACAACTGTTTCATGTCTGTCACTCTCCCCTAACCCAGCGGCTCTGCAATGCAGGAAGTACATCTACCTCATTTATCACCACATGCCCAGTGGACAGTACCATGCTGGCCCGCACAGGAACTCGGCAGTTACATAATTATCACACCCCACCCCAATCATCAGACTAGTTAGGGGTACCCACCAACACCACACTCTCCTCATAATGCACTGACAGTGTTTGCTAGAGAAGCTAGGCTGCTACAGCAAGGCAAGAGATGGTGATGGTCTAAACAAGGACAGTGGGGGAAAGAATGAGAGAAGCCAGGTAGTAGTGGGGCACACCCTTAGTCCCAGCACTCAGGAGGCAGAGATAAGTGGATTTCTATGAGTTCGAGACCAGCTTGGTCTACAAAGTGAGTTCGAGGACAGCTAGGGCTTTTACACAGAAAATCCTGTCTCAAAAAAAAAATAACAAAAAAGAACAAGAGAAGGAAGTATCAGGGAAAAAGTCACAGGCTTGGAATGGTGTCACACACTAGCACTCTGAAGGTTGAGAGTTCTAGGCAATCCTGGTCTACACAGCAAGAAAAAGAAAGCAGATTCATGATAATTTTGAAACATGTGAAATTTCAGTATGTCACATACCTCAATATAAGAATTAAAACTAGGGGCTGGAGAGATAGGTCAGTGGTTAAGAGCACTGTCTGCTCTTCCAGAGGACCTGAGTTCAATTCCCAGCACACACATGGCAGCTCACAACCGTCTGCAACTCCAGTTCCAGGGGATCCAATGTCCCCTCTTCTGACCTCTGTGGGCAGCAGGCATGCACATGGTGCACAGACAAACATGTAGGCAAAACATTCATACACATAAAACCGATCCTTTTAGAAAGGAGATCATCTCGTGATCTTAACTAAGCAACCATTATAGGCCATGACACCAACACCACAGAAAACAAATGAAACAGATAAGCTAAAATCTCAACGTTTGCACTTATTTATTTATTTTTATT